AAAGGGAAAGGGCTGAAGCTGGTCAAGGGCTGTGTGATGGTTGCCTGGCTGCTCCCAGGGTGGCGCTGCGCGGGAGGAGGGGGGTCCTTGATCTGTTTCTTTATCCCCATTGCATACTTTGAAGGTCAAATCCAGGGCTCAATAGCAAAAGTCACATTAATTTCAAATATTAGCAGGAAAGTCCATGCCGCAGGAAGCCACACCACCCATACTGGAATATACATGATTTTTATAAATCTTACAGAGCTGAAGTACAAATGCTCCTCCTGAGCTTACAGCTAAGGCTGATGACAGACACAGAGAGGTTTTGTTCAAATTGTAGCCCCGTCTTTGGAGGTTTCCCTCTTTCATTATTATACAACATCAATTACAGAAGCATTTCCCTTAGAACAGTTTTGATACCTGCACTGAGAAGGTCATTTATGCCAGAGGATGTTTTCAGTGGAAAAGCTGTGAGATTAACAACAGAGGGTTCTTTGAAGCCACACAGTAGTGCCAGAAACACTAATACATTCTGATGCCTTAACCTCTTTCCCATCAGATTAAATACCTCTGTCAATGTTGCTGCTTTAGTCGGAAAGGTTCTCCACTCCCCATCCCACCAGAAATCCTAGAATTCCCTCATCATTGGGACATAGCTGGGACTGAGGGCACTGCTACTATATTCCATTGCAGCTAGTGAGGAAGACCATAAACTGGTGCAGAGAAGGGAAAGGGAATAAAAATGGGAATATTCAAGTAAACTGTTCCCTTCCAGATAGAATTACACAATCCATGCTCATATAGTAATTTATTAAAATATTGTAACCAGTATCTTAAAGATACGGTGATTTAGGATATTTCAGGAAAATTGCTCAATCCTGCAATTGATTCATGGAAACAATTAGGTGGTCCCATAGGTTCCCTTTCACTTCAAAACGATTCTAAGCATCTCCCATTTTTCATGTTACTCACCAGCCTCTGATGTCAGCCCCCAGCATTTCCATATCATGGTGAAAAATGCTGCACACACAATTACTGCATTATCACTTTGTAATTAACATGTTACAAAGGCGTAATCACACTGTTATTTTGCAGCGTCAGGTATTAGCTTGGGTGAAATACAGCTAATTAATGCTGTACAGTAACTCTTGATACCTTATTACCTATCTTGTGGTCTGGAAAGAATGTCCTCCACTTGCAGCTTTCTGAATAGGCCAGTGTTTCTGAAGATGCACCTTTCCAGACCATGCCACACTGATGTCAGTGAAATGTTCACTGTGACCCAAAAGCAGCTACAAACATGGAGAAGTACGCCTTCCTATTGATGATGTCTGTGGCAAGACGGGTTGGTGCTAAAATTGGAATGTGTGCGCGCCATTTATTGCCTCTCCACAGTTAGGCAAACCCATTTGTGCAATGCTATTCACTATTTCATGCACATCTCCCAGAGTCACAGTCCTTCTGTAGTAATACAGCCCCACTGATTGACTTATCCACTACTAATTGATTTGTGACCGACCGATAGCAATCTAGAGTCACCAGCTTTCAGACAGCAATTGCCACATGCTTCTCTACCCAGAAGGCAGCTCACATTCTGGTGTCCTTGCTCCACAGTTTGGGGGCCAACTCAGCACACAGTTCCAGGAAGGCAGTTTCCACATTTGAAAATTCTGCAGCCACTGCTCTTCATCCCACACTTGCATGATTATGTGATCCTACCACTGAAATGCTTGTTTCCCTTGCCCAAAAGTGACAGTCTATCCAAGGCAGCTGCTCTGTGAATGCCAAAAGCAATGTCAAGCTGCTCGGATCCATATCATGCAGGATGTTGGATGCTTGCAAATCTTCCTACAGTATTAGGAACTTCATAATAAACTGTGCTGCCATGGCCTCATGATTCTTAACAGAGCATAGGAGAGATTCATGGGATCCATCCCTTCTCACTAAAGATGCCAGGAAACACAGCAAAGAATGGCTGATGAAAATATGACACACCAGAAAGCCAGGAGCCCAAAGAGGCCTGGGACAGAAAGCAATGCATCATGGGATAGTTAGCATGGTCCCAGGACAATCCGTGATCCACTCTACTTTCCCATAATACCTAGTGAGAGGAGATATTGACCTGCACTGTAGGATGCATACCCACAGTGCATTGCTTACACTGTTGATGATGAGGTCCCCAATGTACACATGGTCTGTCACCAGAGGGAGCTAATGTGAATAAAGTATTCTGATTTTATTTTTATTATGTTGACTTTTGGGTATCAACATAAATTTGGTTGACAAAACTTGGTAGAGTAGGCAAAGCTTTACTAAATGCTTATTTTATACTGATCAAAATTGTGAAATCAGATCACGGATTTGATCATTAGTTGCCAGGAAAGACAAACATATAGCTCAGAAAGTAACTTATGAACTGGGACTCTGGTCTAAACTTTACATTTTACACTGGAGTGTCATCTTGCCACCTAATCAGCCTTTTGCTACAATAATATTTTAAGTGTCTACCAGCAGAAAATTACCTGCACTCTTAAATACTCCACTGCATAGACATGCAAAATACTTGAGGCATGTCAACAGGAACTAATTCTTCATTTGGTTCTGCAGTTAGTGATTCGTTCCAACTAAATTTTCATTTTACAGTAACTGTGGGTTTTGTGTAGTCTCTTTTGGCTAACTCTTGTGTATAAATCATAAAATGAGGCTAATCCGAACCACTTGAGATCAAGCTTTTAACTCGGATTTATGGATGGGGATTTGCAATAAAGAATTAATCTTCATAAGTCAGCATCAAGGGATATAGTACATCACTAAAAATATACCACTGCAATCACTAGACACTGTTTACACTAGATCTATACAGATGTGATTGTAATTCCACTGAAGAAAATGGAGTCACTCTAGATTTACACCAGCACAAGTGAGATCAGAATCCAGCCCACTCAACAGTTTGTTTTACTCGTTGATGCAGCCTGCAAGACACTGATCTAAAGACCTTGAAATCAATGGGAAGATTCCTTACCATTCGGTCATTCCATTGACTTCAGTGGCATTTGAATCAGAGTCTAAAATGGGGGGGGGGGGCTCAAGAGAATGGAAAGGATTCGATCCCAGTTAAACAGTGAATGCAGTGCCTCCCTGTCCTACTCCTACTGAAGACAATGGCAAGTTTTTCCATTAATATCAATGAGAGCAAATTAGGATGACCAGGTGTTCCAATTTTATAGGGAAAGTCCCAGTATTTGGAGATTTGTCTTATAGAGGCATCTACTACCTCCTATCTCTGTCCCAACTTTTCACTCTTGCTATCTGGTCACCCTATAGCAAATCAAGGCAAATACATCTAACTGAGTGGTCCCCAACCTTTAGAGGCTCCCGGGCGCCCGGGAGGTGGGGCCACTCACGCGCCGGGCGCCCGGGAGGTGGGGGCAGGGCTGCACGTCCGGGGGCACGCCAGGGGACTGGGATGCCCTTGCACCTGGCGCTGGCATGTGCCCTAGGGCCGGGGCTAGGGCCGCCCGAGCGCCCTGTGCCGTGGGCCCAGGGTGCTGCCCAAGCCACGCGCCTGAGGCCGGCACCAGCGCCGCTCGAGCACCGCCTGGGGCTGGGGCCGCCCGAGCACCGCGCACCAGGCGCCAGTGCGTGTCGCGTGCCTGGGGCCGGCGCCTCCCGTGCGCCGGGGCAGGGGCCAGCCCAGGTTGTCAGCGGGCGCCCACGAATGCCCCGGCGGGCACCGCGTTGGGGACCACTGGTCTAACTAAATAGCTGGTATCCTGCAAGTCATTTAGCAACCAGCAACCAACTAGAAACCAATGTATTAATTCAACCACATAGAACAGCTATATAGATAATACTTATTATAATGCACCCTGCTTCCTATATGGCTCGCTTAGCTAAATTCGGAGAGAGGATGGAGGTGCAATACATAACCTAGCCATTTGTAGATTCATCTCTGCTGAATGAAGGAAGAAAGGAGGACAAAAGGTACATCTGGAGTAGGCAAAATGATTAAAAGCAGTACTGCACCACTTCTGAAAAATCAGGCCACTGACAGATTTAAATAGCTGACTTGAGGGACCAAAGTGTGAAAAATCTGGCTTCTTTGGCTTCTGTTAAGAAGAAATGAACAGGGCCATGTCAGTGTAGGCTGCATTGAGTGCTCAGAACAAGATTAAAACCCCATTTCACTCTTCAGATGGCACCAGCTGAACTTAGTTTCCAACTTGAAACAGATGCTGGCCAGTGAAGAAGTGAATATTCGATTAACTCTAGAAATTCAAAATTTTCCAGAGATCCAGAAAAAACCCTTTTTCGAAAAAAACCCGTGTAAACCTTTTTTTAGGAAGAGCAGTTATTTCGAAAAAGGGTTTATTTCTGAAAAAAAGCATCCAGACTACTTTCAAGCAAGTCTAGACGTGCCCGAAATGTCCTCATTCACAATGCTGGAGATCACTCTTCTAGCATCTGATTTAGTGGGTCTAGTTATGACCTTGATCTTAATACATTTAAAAAGCAGAAGCACAAAGGGGATGGGGGGGGAGGGGAAGAACCCGCTGTGAACCAGGAATCAGCTGATCCAGCTCATGCCAGGTCCCCATGCTGCGCACCAACCTTTTAAATGTATTAAGAGCCAACAGGCACAACATCCAAGACTGGGCACGAGCCGGGAATTGGCTGATTTCCTGCCTGCGCCTGGCTTCCACTACCTCTCTTCCATCCCTTGTCCCAGGAGGAGACCGTGCTGGGGGAAAACAAGGCAGCAAAGGGGGGGGGGGGGTGTTTACTAATCAGAGGCAGCAAGAGTGGGATGGGGGAGAAGTGAATAGTTGCTTACATCGCTACTAGGTCCATCATGTTGATTTTGCTCTAGAAAAATTAATCTGGACATATTTCCTAATGTTTTGAATGAAGAGTAATTCTTTATAATTAATTAACACCCCCAACAACTCCCAAAACTCTGGGATCATTATATTCCTGAAAATGCCAGCCAGTAACACATTTTGTAAATTGCTTTCTAGATCATGAAAACTGAGCAGGATTGATAAATGAGCTATATTTTGCCAGGCTGCAGTCTTGAACAGATGGATTTCCATATTCCTCATACTAATGTCAGAGAGAGAGAGAGTTCGCATACTGCCAAATGTTACATTAAATGTTACCAAACAAATGGAAGAATATTGCTTAAAATCTCCCAGTAAATTCTCATCATGTTGACTAGAAGATTACCCTGCCATGTATAACCTTTTTTTCTACTGTTTTTTCTTGGTCCTAAATTGTGTAGGCTCATAATTGTCATTTTTAAGTGCCTCCTTACTTTAATGCCTATGTAACAAATAAATCTACAAGGAAACAGCAGCATGTTCAGCTCCATCACTTACATACTCATGTCACTTAAATATTTTAAAATATTGTGCAATCCCATTTAATAATAATAATAAAATATCAGACTCTGCATGTATTGATTTTAGAATTTTATTCTATTGTCCATCATAGTAATATCTGACTACTACTGGTTTTATAGGGAAAGTAAAGAAAGTCTCTGGCACTTCTCCCTTTATAGGGTCAGATCTCTGATTGAAGGGGAGGGTTTGGGAGAGGTTTAGGAATAAGAGGTGTTTGAAATGTTTCACTTATGGCAGGGATGTTCTCTCGAAGAGGGAGGCTTTGCATGGTTTCCCAGAAAGGTTTAGACTATGGATTTGCCTGATCTCCCCAGGAAGATTGCTAGATGGATCCTCTAATAGAGAATGCTTTACCTGGGCCTTGTGAGTTGCACTGTCACTGAGGAGTGGTATTGTCGTGGGAGTTCATAGACTGAAATTTGGTTTGGATGTAGCTGTGGCTCAATCCATTAACTGCTTTGAAAATTAGGACCTAGGCCTTAAGTTGATGTAAAAAGGGAAGTGGGAGGAGAAACTTGAGCATCGAGTTGATGTGCTCATGGCAGCCTGAGCCATGGAGAAGGCAGACAACTGCACTCTTCACCCCCGGATCCTGTGCATCCATCTTTACATTCAGCTTCAGATACAATGAGTTACAGTAATCCAGCCCAGTTGTGACAAGCGCTTGGATCACTGTGGCCAGGAAGAAAGGACTAGTTTTCCTAGTGAGCCGCAGATAGAAAAAGGCATTTTTAAGAAAATGATGCTAGCAGATCATCCCAGGACAATGAAGAGAGGCGTTGATGAATTGGGGTGTGGGTGTACATTGTCATTGGAAGGTGGGCACCATGTCTTGGCCAGTTCTTCGAAGTGTTTCCCCTTGTTGGTGTGATCTGGGTTCAGCCTCAGTCAGACACTCTTCATCCAAGAGCCAATTACCTGTAAGCATTCAGTGGCAGTGGTTCCATCAGTTGAAAAGGAGATATAAAGCTGAGTTTTATCAGCATACTGGTGGAAACTAAGCCCATGAGCAGGTACATCAGCCCACATTAGGCCTGAGTGAACTATGGATTTAAATTGAATTTGGATAGTAGCATGAGCAACAGGCTAAAAGAATGCAATCCAAGAGAAACTCATGAGAAGGGAAATTGTTTTTATGAAATTTGTGTTGTAGTTTAGTGTTATTTAAGATTTGGGATGGGAGAAACACATTTTTAAAAAATTGAGTATCAGAGGCAGTAAGCTGCTGTTTTATCCCCCTTCATTTATTATAACAAAATGCTAGGTCCAGTAGTTAGGGAGAAACATGGCAAAATGAGATAAAACCTTGAAGAAAGAGGCCCAATCATTAATCTTGTCTTGACCGGGGCGAAAGACAGAATTCGCCCCTAACGTTTCATTTGGCCTTAGCTAAGATCCCATGACAAACAATAGCCTCGCTTGTTTGTAATAACTTTAAAAAAACAACAACAACAAATAGTCTGGTAGCACTTTAAAGACTAACAAAACATGTAGATGGCGTCATGAGCACACAAAAGCTCATACCACCATCTATATGTTTTGTTCGTCTTTAAAGTGCTACCAGACTATTTGTTGTTGTTTTTTAAGTTTATCCTGTACAAACTAACTTGGCTACCCCCTTTAAGCTTCTTGTTTGTAATAGTGTATAAAAGGCAAGGTCTTTCTAGGAGTCCCTTGCAAGAGTTCTCCCTTACCGCTCTGGAGTACCGCTTTGGTGGGATGGTTTCTCCCAAGTCTGATCTGGTTGTTAAATATTTTGGCCAATGCAATTGTTGCCGCGAGGGTACAGAATACAGGTGTGTGCACATGCTTACATCTGTGTTTTGGATGTAACAAACACTAAGTGGCCACTGACCTAACAAAAGGAATAATTATGTGGAAACTGAGTTGTGGTAAACCTGAAGAAGTGGGCTGTGCCCACGAAAGCTCATGATACCATCTACATGTTTTGTTAGTCTATAAAGTGCTATCAGACCATTTGTTGTTTTTTCCAGAATAAAATTATTAGAAAAAATATTTCTATCATCACAGCATTTCACTATCTCTGCAAGTGGTCTGAAATAGACACTGAAGAGAAGCTGAGATACTATGAATCTTTCTGGGAGGAGGAGCAGTTACTCATCACCACTGAAGAGGAACAATTAGAGTCACTGTAGTGCTGAGCCCAGAACTCATGTAGGTGTGTTGTTAGTACCTTGTGGCCTACTGATTCAAAAGCTGCAGAGTGATCCAGCGGGGTGAGCATGAAGATCTCACATGTGACAATAGCCCAGTGGTGGGCAACCTGCAGCCCATAGAGGTTTTAAGTGTGGCCCACAGGACATTTTATTTACTGCTCCCCATGCACAGGATTGCCAGATGTCATTGATTTCTGTCCACATAGTTTTTTTCCCCCAGCATTGCTAAAATGACTCACTTAAAGCAAGGGCATGCGAAGTAAGGGGTGTGCTCATTGCACCTAAGGTTGACTGTGTGTGTGCTCCGTCTACATCCAATTAGAATGCTGCTATGGTTCAGTTGCACACCCCACAAATTCTAGGTACACAGGCTCATTTAGCTAAACTACCCAATCCCAGGCGTCCTTCTTGGTTATGTCAATCTTCAAGCCCACTGAGATGAATGAGGGCCACTCATGCGGCCTATTCATTAGCTCAGGTTGCCCATCACTCCATAACCTGAGGAGGTAATCTGCTATGCCGCCTGAGCAGTCTCTGTGCTCTGCCCGATCTGAACCCTGATTCTGAAGCATTCAAGTATTTGACTGATATCACACACAGCTGGAGCTTGGTGGTTACTACTGTCTTGCAGAAGCAAGGTAACAACAGGTCAATCACAGCCAACATATGCTGCTAGTATCTTTTGAATAGCAACTGTACAACCACAAATCACATTTAACAGAGTTGGGAAAAACAACCATCTTAGCTATGTGTCAAACTTGGAACATTTCATAAACTCAAGACAAAAAAATTAAACCTCCAGGTCTTACTATAATAAAATTAAAAAATAAATGTCTGTTCAGTCTGCTAAGACAACCAGATATTTCTTCTAACAACATTTTAGGAATAGCACAGTTTTCAGAATATAGTGGCTTGGTAAGCAGCAGACTAATTTGATCACAATCTTTTAAACAAAGTTGAAGCAGCAATAGAAAAAAATTGTCCCTGAACATTTATTCAAATCAGAAGACACTTTTGATCTGCCCAGCTCAGTAACACACCTGCATTCACGAGAGGTTAGACGGATCTAGCACAAATATAGGCAAGAAACAAATCTCTATCTAATGAATTGGACTAACCATTCATTGAAAGCAGATTGAGTAGTATTCAACTATAACTTCTTAACTTCTGCAATTCATGCTTCATTGCCAAACAATTCACCCACTCACAAAATAGAAAGAATACTATGCAACAATCCAACATTTCATACATTATGAGTATTTGCAACAAACAAGGAACAAATCATCTGCAAAAGCAAAAGTTATTCATTGTGGAAATGTGTGCATCATTCTTGACAACAAAGAAATGTGCCACTGTCAGGGGTTTTGCAAACAGTTCACTCTCAGAAGAAAATGTGTTGGATAAATTACTGTAAATAATTTTCTCTGATTTCATATTTCAAAATAATTATTTACTTTATGAATTTAAGAAACAAGGGAGGGAACCTTTTTCCTACCTCTTCCAGGGCCCATAATGAATCAACCAGAGGCTTGATCTTCTTCTCATTGTACAGTGTTATCAGTTTGTCCATTATGCCCTTAATTAGGCCACTTCGACCCTGTTTGAAAAGTAGATTTAGCAGAGAAAATCCAGCAATGACTTTATTCTCTTCATACAGCTTGATAGGGTTCACTTTCTCAACCTGCCACCACTAGAGAGAAACAAATGGCATGAAGGTTAACAGAACAAACTAACACACAGGAAAAAGGGTTTCACAATAATACTGTGTATGCAAACAGCTTATTAGCAATCTAGATGAGCTTACATCTCCCATGGAAGAATAAGTAAGCGTAGCATAAAAGTTCTCTTCAAAAGTTCCATAAAAGGACACAACATTGATTCAAAAGCCCATGAATTTCAAGGATATTAAGAAAAAAAACAATGCAAAAATACAGAAGCTCTGTTTTGATGGCAGCTGAAGGGCTAGGGTGAAGGAGAAAGGATTTCATGAAAGAAAAATGTGAACAATAGCAGCAGAAAGGCACAGTATGAGGAAATAGCTGCATGGAAAACTGAGCTGTCTTATGTAGAAAAGTCTCAGAGGGCAAGTCATGTTAGTCTGTAACCTGAAAAACAAAAAAACAAAACAAAAACCAATGAATAGTCCTGTAGCACCTTAGGGTAGATCTATATAGCAGGGCTAAAGCTGAAATAAGCTACGGAACTTGAGCTATGTCAGTTGCATAGCTTAAGTCAAAATAGCGTATTTCGGCTTTTGGTGCAGTCTACACAGCAGGAAATTGAAGAAAGAGCACTCTTCCTCCAACTTCCCTTACTCCTTGTAAAATAAGGGATACAGGAATTGAAGTAAGAAGTCCTCCAGCTCACCATTATTTTGATATTATGTCAAAATAACTGCTTGTAGTGTAGATGCGGACTATTTTACTTTGGAGTAACACCAGTTATTCTGAAATAACACTGCTGCGTAGATGTACCCTTAGAGACTAACAAATTATATATATATAAATAAAAGAGAGAGAGAATGAATATCATGAGCTTTCATTGGCACAACCCATGTGAGACCCATCTGAAGAAGTGGGTTGTGCCCATGAGAGCTCATGATTCTATCTATTTGCTAGTCTAAGGGTGTGTCTCGACTACAGGGATTTTTGGGAAAAAGTGGCATTTTTTCAAAAAAAAATCTTTACCTGCATCTAGACTACCACTGTGTTCGGTCAATAAATCAAAAGAACGTGGCGTTTTTTTTTACCGTGATAAACCTAGTTTTACGAGGAATAATGCCTTTTTTCAAAAGTGCTCTTTCAAAAAAAAGGTGCTATGTAATGCAAACTGTGCTTTTTTGAAAGAGAGCATCCAGACTGCCCGGGTGCTCTCTTTTAAAAAAAGCGGCTTGCTTTTTCGAAAGGACTGGTTGTAGACTTTTTTCAAAAGATACTTTTGAAAGAGGCTTGCAGACTAGACGTAGTCTAAGACACTACAGGACTACTCCTTGTCTTATGTAGAGTAATGGCTATAAAAATACACTTGATTGTTTTTTGTGCCCAAATTCCAAAATTACCAGAGCAGTCTTATCCTAGCCACAAGGTTTGCACAAAGAAACAGGGTAGACAGACATGTAACTAACTGATTTGCATATGAAGCTCAAATGCAGGTTTTTGCTGGGCAAAAGTAGACAATTGGGAGAATCGGATGGATAGTCCTGTGACCAAGGGGCAGGATTTAGGAGTCTTGAATTATATTTGTAGCTCTGCCAGAGTCTTCCATTGTTAACCTTAGGGAAGCTGTTTAACCCCTCTGTAAAAACCTTAACTCTACTTCCCCCCAATAGCCCAACCCACCAAAAATATCATACAATCCTCACTGCTGCTCTAGCTCCTGCTTTCTTGAATGATCTCTAATGATGTTATTTTTGCTGATTTTAGCCCCAGGGCAGCCTTGGGAGTGAGATCCCACATCTTAGCAAGTTTTAGTCTAGTGGGCAAAATTTTAATTAATTTTTTTTTATAGTTCTTGGGAAGAATTTTCAAAGGGTTAATTAGATTAGTGTAAAAAGCAGTTTACATCTTTCTGAACAATTTGGTTCTTGAATGATCTCTAATGATGTTATTTTTGCTGATTTTAGCCCCAGGGCAGCCTTGGGAGTGAGATCCCACATCTTAGCAAGTTTTAGTCTAGTGGGCAAAATTTTAATTAATTTTTTTTTATAGTTCTTGGGAAGAATTTTCAAAGGGTTAATTAGATTAGTGTAAAAAGCAGTTTACATCTTTCTGAACAATTTGGTGCACTATTTAACATTTTGATTAAATATTCTCTTATTGTTTTTTCAGCTTCTGGAGATGGCATTATTACCCCCAGTAGCCATTACAAAGCAGCTATTGACTCATTCTGGTTTAAGGAATTTTAATATAGGCCCAGACATGTTGACTAGAGCTTTTGTTTTAGCCTACAACTTCCATACAGTTTATCACCACCATAGCTCCAGGGTACCTGGTTTCAAGACAGTTGTAATGTGCAACACTGTGGATACCAAAGTTTTAATCTGATTATGAAACACTTATAGCCCCGCCTAGTGGTTTGTGTTAGTATCTTTCAAAAAAAAAATCTTATTCTCCTGGCCTCTCTTGGATTCAGATGGAGAATCAGTAGCTCAAGGAACTACTTGCTAACTGTTGCTTTCTTCAAAACCTATAGGAGCTGTTCTAAACTAGTGGGAGCCAATTTCATTTCCACCAGGGCTGGCTACACTATCCATTGCAAAACATGAACACCAGCTGAACTCTGAGTTTTAAGAAGCTTCAGGGGGTAGCTGAGTTAGTCTGTACAGGATAAACGAAGAGACTGGTAGCACTTTAAAGACCAACAAAACATGTAGATGTTATAGATGAAGGGGTCATCTGCAGAAGTGGACTGTGCCCACGAAAGCACATGATACCATCTACATGTTCTGTTAGTCTTTAAAGTGCTACCAGACCATTTGTTGTTGTTTTTTAAAGTTTATTCTGAGAGTTAAGTACAGGCAGTCCCCGGGTTACATGGATCCGACTTACATCGGATCCCTACTTACAAGCGGGGTGAGGCAACCCCGCACTAGCTGCTTCCCCCAGCAGACCAGGGAGACGCGAAGCTAGCGCCCCCGCCAGCAGACCAGGGAGACGCGGAGCGGCTTTTCTCAGCAGACACCTCAGCTTGAGAATAAAGGACTGAGGGAAGTGAGGTGTGGGAGAATAAAACTGAGCTCTGGAGAAATGTTTGGCTAGAGTTTCCCCTACAATATGTACCAGTTCCGACTTACATACAAATTCAACTTAAGAACAAACCTACAGTCCCTATCTTGTACGTAACCCGGGGACTGCCTGTATATTCTCAAATTCACGCCATTGTACTGACAGGCTTTTCAGAGACGTGAAGAACCCGTTGGGAGCTCAATTGTATAGTGAAGAGAACATGCTACTGCCAGTCAGAAAACAAACTGATAGTTTAGTTTTATCTAAGATATAAAATGACTTTACACAGATTATTGGCAACTCAAACATTTATTGCATAAAGAGGAGACTCTTGTCTAGCTGTCATAACAAAAGAGAAACATCATGCTCCACTCCATGTAACACTCTTTATTTGCACCAGTGTGTTGTTGTCTATTTGAATTAGTAAAGAGTGAAATGGAGATAAATTATGTTGGTATTGGTAATGAAATAAGCTGCTAACAGCAACGGATTTCAGTGATAAATGCTAACAAGCGTGGCATTGCAAAACCACAGGAGTACTACACTTACTGATTTTGCAAAGCTAAAGAAGCTTTTTGTTTCCCCAGTAACCATATTGGATGAACCTAGGGGGGAAAAAAAAGAGCACATATATGTTAACATCCCTTAACATGCCAATGAATGAGGCCATTTAATGGTCTGCATTAAAAATAAAACAACAACAAATAAGATTTCTTCTTTGTTTTTTTCCCAAATTGCATAAGGTTTAATGATGCCCTTCCTTTTTATCATTGGTACAGCAATCAAAGAAGTCAAGTTGATAGCATCCTACACATTTCAAGAACAAAAGAAAAAGTCGTTCCTACCAAATGACAGCCAAGTATTCATTATTTCTAAAACCACCAATTCAGCCTCTCAGAAAGATGTTCATAGACAAGGAGACTAGAGAATATTAGGTATTTGGTAGCAAATCCCTTCTTCCCTATTACAGTTTCCTCTCTACCATTATAGTTTAACAGCTAATGATAGCTAGAACCATGTAAACTTCCTCTCTGGCTCTGTCTTCAAAGATATGCAATTTATTTAACTATCCTCTCAGAGTGGCTGGAGGTGTTACTGTTTCATTAGCAGTAAGGTATGTGGCATACAGAATTGTAGGAAAGCTATTCCATTATTAAACATGCTGAGTGGCCAGTGACACAGGCTGAGGCTCTAAAATGTGAGATTTAGAAGTCTGGGTACAGTTTGCACTGCTTGGTGTCAGACCAAATTAAATACTTCCAGAATGGCAGTCTTTCTACAGTTCCATTCATCATACTGTGGTTACTTCTGCCAAACTGTTAGCTTCCTGTGGCTTCTGGAATAAGAGATTCAAAGTCACTCCCCAAACTTATTCCTTCTAGAGGGATATATTTGACCATACAACCAGTTTTGCCTTTCAATATTTTGAAGAAAAAAAAAAAAAAAAACCCCACACCTGTTTTTCACAAACTGAATTCTCCTATGTTTTTAGCCTATAAAGAATTCAGCTCCTCCAAAACTCTTGACTAAAAATGATTGTACTGACAAAGTGTAACATGACAGTCATGTATACTCTTCATATTCCCTGGTGAGAATTTAGAAGTTTGGATGATTTAAAGGGTGTTCCCAAGTTTTATTTTAAAACTTGTTTTATGTTTTTACTCACCATATAAAATGTATGTCCCAAGTGGTTTGAGAAGACTGAGGCCTTTTCCAGTATTTTCTCCACACAGGCAATCCAGAACAATATCTACTCCTTCTGCTGAGATTCTAAAACACAAGAGTAGCAAAACTCACACTGCAACAGGAATGAAGACGTCACTTTTTTTAACTGGTCTACTATAGGATTACTGTTTACAGAGCACCCACAGTTTCCAATGCATTCTAAAGAGCAACTAGTGATTTTGACACTTCAGTTGCAAAATATACAGCTTGAGCCATTTTAAGAACTTCTAGTTTAACAGAAGTGCTTATCATTCACCTGCTGAAAACCAGGCGTTTCTTCTTGGGAATACAACAATGGAGACACCCAAGATCAATAGTTGCTTTTCAAAAACTTGGCCTAGAATCTCAACCCTGCCGCTCACAATCATGTTAAGTAGTTTCTCACTCGATCTCATTGACATTAATGGGCTATTTGTAGAGTAACTTATTACTAAATGCGAGTAAAGATGTCAGAATCTGACATCAGCTAAATACGTGAAATGGGGAGTGAGTTGCAACAAAACAAGCAAAGTGTTTTGTAAATGATTTCTTAGTTGCACTATTTTTGTGTATTTATTTCTTCTGGAAAAATTAATGAGGAAGAAGAGTATTGTGGTGTGATTAGAAAGTTATAGGTGACACAGATAATTATTGAGGAGTGTGAAGTTTGGCTTAATTGAGATTTGACTGAGATAGTCTATTACAGGATGACAAAAAATATGCATATCTATCTCAGCAGTAGAGTTGTTACCAGACAAAGGAGGGAAATAAGCAGAACATGAGAAGGTAGAAATTATATTAGCAGCTGGATAACCATTCTCAGAGAACAGTTATTAATGGGTCACAGTCATGTTAGAAGGGCATAACAAATGGGGTTACAGAGGGGTCAGTTTTGGGACCAGTTCTGTTCAATATCTTCATTAAAGATTTAGCTAATAGCATAGACAGTATGCCTATTACATTTGTGGATGATACAAAGCTGGGAGGGGTTGCAAGTGGAGGGTAGGGATAGGGTCAAAATTCAAAATCCTTTAGAGGATAGGGTCAAAATTCAAAATGGATTTGGACAAACTGGAAAAATGGTCTGAGGTAAATAGAATGAAGTTTAATAAGGACAAATGCAAAGTTCCCCATTTAGGAAGGAACATGAATCGAAAGGCAGAATGTGGCTATAATTTGTGTAGCAAAGGATTTGAAATATTATGTGGTTCCAGCAAATAACCTTATTTGCAAGCATTTCTGAACTATAGCTCAGTATTCACCGGCCAAAAGAAAATTCTATTTTGTATCTGAAAAAGAATATCATCTGACAATATTCAGAACGTAAGCAAAAGAGAAATACTTTAATATAGCCAATACTTGAATGTGATTTCACATTTCTCTGTACTAAACTAAACCTGTGAGCTCTTGACCCCAGTTTGACTAAAACCTGCTATTCTACTCTATAACCAAGTAAATAACCCTAGTAGTTGCAAATTATTTATCAGTTCTCTTTAATTATACAATTATGCCAACCACTGATACATTATTCTAGGATAATTATACCCTTGGCACTATCAAAGGCATAAGGTACAGTTTCTAATCCCCAAAAGCAACTATTAGCTGTGATGACCATACCTCTTGAAATTGCCTAACTGCAATTAGACAAAGTCAGAGAACAGGGAAAGCTTTATGACCTATAAAAAAAAAATCTTTCATTTTTCTCAGAAAACAGAGAGCGAGCGAGCGAGCGAGCAAATGAGCTCTCAAATGTCTGCCAGAAGCACAATACAAAGAGCCACAAAACATGTGACTTCTTCCCTTAGTAGTGTAACCCTTAAGCACTGCTGATTTGTGTGGGCCAGTAATTTCCCCCAGTGGGTAAAGTAATATCTTCTATTGGACCAGCTTCTGCTGGTGAAAGAGAGACATATTGAGCTACACAGAGTCCTTTTTCAGGTCTGTTCAGCACCATGTAGCTCAAACATGTCTCTTTCACCAAACAGACCTTGGTCCAATAAAAGGTATTACCTCACATACCTTATCTTTCTAATATCCTTGGAATGCCACTGCTACAACAGTGCATGCAACAGCTTTCTCTATAGTTCGGTGCGTGATGAGCTTTCATTAGTAAACATGATACTCAACGTACCCTTTAAGAATATTATCGGGATAGCAAATTTTTTTTTCTTGTAAGCATCATCCCAGATATTCTTACTGGGAGATTTTGATATAAAACAGGAGCACATGAAGCAGATCAACCACATGCTGCCACCCAATACATCTCTCTACTAGTGCTGGTCAGGAATTTTCAATCAAAATGTTTTTTTTCCCCCCCCAATGGAAAATCCACTTTCAATCAATCTACAGGCAATCCCCAGGTTACATGGATCCGACTTACATCAGATTCCTACTTACAAACGGGGTGAGGCAACCCCGCACTAGCTGCTTCCCCCCAGCAGACTAGGGAGACGTGAAGCTAGCGCCCCCCTCCCCAGCAGACCAGGGAGACGCGGAGTGGCTTTTCTCAGCAGACACCTCAGCTTGAGAATAAAGGACTGAGGGAAGTGAGGTGTGGGAGAATAAAACTGAGCTCTGGAGAAATGTTTGGCTAGAGTTTCCCCTACAATATGTACCAGTTCCGACTTACATACAAATTCAACTTAAGAACAAACCTACAGTCCCTATCTTGTACGTAACCCGGGGACTTTCCATTTCCTGATACAAGGCAAAACCAAAATTCCAAATAGAGGAATTTCCCATGGGATGGACATTTTTATTTTCCCACAGCTCTATCCCCTGAATTTCAGTGACACACTCATCACCTTGTCATCATAATCATAACCATAATCATGGCAAACAAAAAGAAAATGAGACATTTTGCAGGTATATTTTACCTTTATTCCAAATGGACCTTAATCACACATCCCATAGACTGATCATAGGGGAAAATCCATTGGTAATAAGCCACAGTGAAGATTCCAAATTGCTTGTAGCGAACTCCATGTAGCAAAGTTTGTCTCCATTATAACTGGGTTCCACTGTAATAATCCCTTTGGAATACAGTAATGAACACCTACCACCACTGAAAGTGGGGCATTCCAAGGAGATTATCTCTTCCACTGGTAAAGCACAGGAGAAGTCAGTGTCCCATGGGTAAGAGTCAGGGAGTTGTTCTGAACTCTGATGAAAATGTGCTTCAAAATGTTACATGTTGAACAGGGAAAATTTTCTGTGAACATTGCTTCCCCTCCCCCATTTGTTCAGATTAACTCATCAGACCAACCCCTCCAAAATTGCGAAGAAACTGAAGCCTTAGTGACAACTTCAAGAGGCTACAGAATGACTAACTTTAAAGCAAACAAACACAATCTACTTATTCGCAATTCTGACACCATGGAACTCAAGATACTAGTGATTCGCACAATACAAGAACCAAGACAGAACTTCACTAGAGAATTCCCCCCCAAATTTGAATAAATTCCACCAAATCTACAATAAAAGACTTCATGAACAGCAAAAATTAAAGATGACCAGCCTATAGGAAAATAATAGAGATTAGATTTCCCTCAATTATGTTCTTTGTTCACTTTCATTTAATTCCTTTGGCTTGTGGTAGACATTTAAAAGTGAACATTATCACTAAAGCCTATGCTGATTCTAAAGTAAGAGGGAGATACTCATTTACTATAATTATCTTTTCATTGGGAAGACTGAAAATATCTACACTAAAGGAGTGCGCTTGTTTCAAAACCAACCTGTTTAACCAGTTCTCGTAGATATTCTTAACTAACTGTTTTCTTAGTAATACACTAGCTACTACAAATTCCGATAATCAAAATAAAACCCTTACCTCTTTACTTCTTGGACATAATCTGCATTTCTGTCAAACAGGTGAGTTACTGAATCTTTGATTGCTTCATGTTTGAATGAAGAAGCTGTTCCAAAAACTGTAACACTGGGGATTGTTGAGCAGAGCTGAGCAACGGCTTGACCCTGAAAATATATTGTCATATCAGTTCCAATAACAATCAATAACAAAGTCAGTTATTTGATTTCTTCCTGCCAATTTGCTCATCATACAATAAAATCCAAGCAGGCCTATGCAGTTTTCAAAACTTTCTTATATCAGACAATTCATAGTCACACAATAAATCAGCTGTAAATCCTCACAGATCCAGAAGAAATATTCTTTGGGGATAAAATTAATTTAACAAGTGGTAAATTATACTTGGAAAACTATCACGCATCTCTTTCACAATGGTATTTTGAAGTAAATACCGTTACTGCAAAATTTTCACATGAAAAGGACAGCATCCATTTAAAATGACACTTTTGCAAGACAGACATTTACATACTGCTGTTATAGGTTACACCTACAATGATTATTACTGAGGGATTACCAGAAAATATTTCTATTTTTTCCCTCAGTTTGTTTACTATGGGCATTTGTCAGCCTCTTAGGCCAGAGTTTTTCCATGTACATTAGGGAAATCCACAATAATCAGTGGAACTTACGCTCACCTGTATGTGGTACAGCTTTAGGCTTTGAAAGCTTTTAAATACGTTTGTTACTTGTGTCACTATAAGCAGGTGAGCAGTGGACTTCCCATTTACTTCAAATTACCATGAGTGCGCCGAGTAAGAGGTATAGTTTCAGTGAGACTTAGGGTTCCACAGCCCAAATTCTCTTGGGTATTTAGTTTTCTAACTTCAAAGAAAGCATGTCTTTTATATAAAAAGAGACTTTATGTAAAGTTCACTGTGAGTTAGACACCTAAAAACCTTTGATAATCTGGGTACTTATGTCACTGGCACTTATGACATACAAACTGGTACTTATGACATACTAGCAGGATGTCACTGGTTTCTTGCTACAGTCCCTTGCTTCCATTTGGGTGGGTTTCTCACAGAGCAACAAACCAAAAAATGGGTACTAGAATAGGATATGAAATTTTAAGTGCCAGTGTAATAAATGAAATTACTTAACTCATTTATGAAAAGAATTAACATGATTTTAAGTTAATGGTCTCTCTACTAAAGAAAAAAGACTCAGAGCATGCACTAAAGCTTTTCAGAGTTTTTAATATTTTTTCTTCCAAAACTGGTCCTTCAAAAACAATATTTTTAGGAAAAATTAAACGACATTACAGAAATTTCTCATTTTTGTAATAATTTTCTGATTTCTTTTCTTGAGCAGAACATTTTACTGAATTCTTAAAATAAAGATTGTTTATAAAGTTATATTTCTTTCATTTAGAGAAACCACATTTTCTTACAGAAAACTGAGTATTGAGTGAACAAAAACTTTTGAATGTGACTTACAAAAGTTTTATGGAAAAAAAATGCAGAAAGTTTCATGGAAAATGCAAAACAGAAAATTTCAAAATGTTGACTTTTTTGCAAAATCTTCCCATTTTCAATCTTCTTTCTGCACATATAAAGTATGCTTTTTTCACTACTTATATGCATAATTCATCATGGCTAGGTCTCTGATAACTGCTTAATGTGCAACAGCACCAAAAAAGCTAACAATGTTAGGTAGTCAGAGGGGTAGCCATGTTAGTCTGTAACTTTAAAAACAATGAGTAGTCCTGTAGCACCTTAGAGACCAAGATTTTAGATAAATAGTATCATGAGCTTTTGTGATAAGACAGCAAATATCATAATGCCAATATATAAATCCACGATGCGCCCATAACTTGAATAATGGATTCAATTCTAATCATCTCATTTAAAAAAAAGATACATCAGAAATAGAAATGGTACAGAGAAGGACAACAAAAATTATTAAAGGTATGAAATAGTTGCTATTTAAAGGGAGATTAAAAAAACTGGGACTTCTCAATTTGGAAAGGAAACAACTAAGTGGTAATATGATAGAAGTCTATAATATCATGAATGGTATAGAGAAAGTGTATGCTAATTAGTCCTTCATATACCACAAGAGCTAGAGGCCATCCAATTAAATTAATAGGCAGCAGGTTTAAAACAAACAGCAGGAAGAACTGCTTTACACAATGTAGTCAAGTTATGGCACTTGTTGCCATGGAATATTGTGAAGAGCAAAATAATAACTTGCTTTAAAAAAGAATTAGATACATTTGTGGAGGATAGGCCCAGCAATGGCTATTAGTCAAGATTTGTTTCTGTACTTAGATCTCTTCAATCACCCACGAGTTCACCCATCTTCTAGATACACTTTATGGTCACTTATGTCACCAAAGGACATGACAGAATCTGCTTGGCATAATGAGTAGTCAGCAACAACATTCATTAATCACTGCCTCATCACCCACCTAAACATCTACCCACTGGCTGCGTCTAGACTGGCAAGTTTTTCCACAAACAGCCGCTTTTGCGGAAAAACTTGCCAGCTGTCTACCCTGGCTGCTTGAATTTGCGCAAGAACACTGATGATCTAATGTAAGATTGTTAGTGTTCTTGCGCAAATACTATGCTGCTCCCGCTCGGGAAAAAGCCCTCTTGCGCAAATTCTTTTGCTCAAGAGGGCCAATGTAGACAGGTAAAAACTGTTTTGCGCAAAAAAGCCCCGATTGGCGAAAATGGCCATCGGGGATATCGGGGCTTTTTTGCGCAAAACCGTGTCTAGATTGGCATGGATGATTTTCCGCAAAAGCATCCGTGACAATGTAGATGCTCTTTTCCGCAAATGTTTTTAACGGAAAAACTTTTCCATTAAAAGCATTTGCGGAAAATCATGCCAGTCTAGACGCAGCCACTATGTTTTAACCTGCCAAGACTCCTGCAGTCATCCTTGAACCATTTTTGGACAGGACAGGGCAACCATCAACTTCAGATGAGGTTGCATGTGTGTGATGAATGCCCATTGGCTTACTCTGACAAGAGAGGAGGGGTTTACTGGCTTTTCACTAGGCTGATGATGCTATCAAATGGCTGGGAACACTCCACATCTTCTGAAGAACCCAGATGGTCAGGGATGTAACCCTACACTCTGAGTGCCCCTAAGCTTCTGATTGTCAGACCTGGGATTGAACAACAGGGGATGGATCACTGATGATTGACCTGTTCTTTTTGTCCCCTCTGAAGCATCTGACGTTCTCCTCTGTCAAAAGACAGGACTAGATGGACCAGTGATCAGACCTAGCATTTCCATTCTTATGTTCACCATTATTCATCTTATTAAGGCTGCAGTCAAACTATAGAACAGTAACTTTCTCCCTCTCAGTTTCACCATTTCCATTTTAAGGTAGAACTGACAACAATGGGATCAACCTAATCTGATAAATGGTATTATGTGACTACAGTACAATGAAAAACACATGCTTTCAGACGTGTACTTGAGCTTGGAGATTTTAGACAATCGTTTCCCTAATTTTTTGTCTCTAAAAAGCAAATTTTCATTCTCTCTGATTATCACTACAAGTCCTTCCATAGAAACACCATAAGTAATGTTTACAATCCTCTTTGGCATTAATCCTTTGGAACAAAATTTTGGCACATGCAACATGACAATAAATACCATGCTGAAAAGGAACTGGATTAGCCACACTCTGCTACTTGTAGTTGACATCATTTATCAGGAGGGGCATAGCCTAAGAGTTCTAGAGAGCACCGATTTTATTAAGAATAGTCAGGACCAGCCCACAACATTTTGGCACCTGAGTCAGGGAGCTCAAATGACGACCCCATGCCCCCTCGCTTGAGCCAAAACTTAGAAAGGTCTCAATTCTACCTTCTTTCAGTTCTACTCCTCTCATGGTACTGCTGCTCTGCTACCTACATATGCACCAGCAGCAGACACAATTTTCTACACTCTGGCACTCTGGGTCCTAGTGGCACCCCCTTCCCCTGAGGCGGCCACTTCAATTCACCTCATGGTAGGGCCAGCCCTAAGTATAATCTGGGAGCATAGCCTTAAAGATTTTGAAAATATTTGGAAACAGCTTAGGCTAATCATGTACATTTCTCCTCTAGGGAAAGTTCTGCAGCATGTCATGCCTACCTTTAAAATAAGATCTATGGTAGATTGTAAACATTTGATCTTGATACACAGCTACAGTAGTTTGGTCCCACTATATCAGGGTTTTGTAGCACTAGTGAGAAAGTGGGAGGCATAGAAAATGCTCTATCTGGTCCAGTGTGCCTACAATAGCCACAGCGTCTTGCTGTGCTTACAATAGGAGATAAGTATGAGCGTGTATGACGAAGATTGCATACTTGAATGTGACTACCCTACTTGCTTTATTAATAACATAACACTACGCTTTAGGATTGGATGCCTGTTAAATGAGGGATCAGAAAAGACTTTGAATGATATTTCACAGTTGAGTTTAGTTTTGTGTCATTTTCTCAAATGTCTTTTTAGGATAATTTTGCCATTTTTAAGGTAGTTTTGCAATTTTACAGCAGAGAGGTTGAGCTATGTAGTGCTTTTTAAGATGATCCAGCAGAAAGTATGAAATATCTTGCAGGATTTTGAACCTGTCACATTGATTAAGTTTTTCTGAACTATGAAATACAATTGCAACCACTGCTTCATGATCAAGTTCACGATATGACTGTCTGAATATAACAAAGAAAAGTCACATTGCTCTTCTGTTGAAGGTGAAACAAGGAGCAAGTGCGGTACAAAATGAATCCAGATTCTCCTACCACTTGAAATGAGACTTATTTAATAGTTATTCTTGATCTAATTGAAAACAAGAGCTGGCTGGAAAAATTATTTTTTTGTCAGTTTGTTGATTCCTCACAATCAAAACGTTCTTTGGAGACAGCTAATAAGTTCCTCTGAAACCTAGGCTGCTGGCTCCCAAGCTCTGGGGCTTTTTGCTCTTTTATGGCTCCTTAAGCATCCAGACTCCTGGCTCCCTTGCATTCTACCTGGCGGAGTTTGTTTTGAAGTTATCTACATGAGCATTTTCCATTGTAATTTCCATTTCACAGGGAATTTTAAAATTTGTTTGTTTTGTTTTCAAAAGGCACAAAACCAGAAGTTTGAAGTCCTGAAATAT